CCTTTTCCCCACATCCTCGCCAACATTTGTTATTTCTTTTTGAGGATAGCCATTCTGACTCGTGTGAGGCGGTATCTCATTGTGGTTTTAATTTGCATTTCACTAATGATTCGTGACGTTGAGCGTCTTATTTGTCTGTTGGCCATCTGCATGTCTTCTTTGAGACTATGTTTATTCAGGTCCTTTACCCAGCTTTAAATCAGATTATTTGGTTGAGCCAAGTAAGTTTTTTTATATATTTTGGATACTGACCCCTTATCAGATACAGCATTTGCACGCACCTTCTCCTGTTCCGTAGGTTGTCTTTCTGTTTTGTTGGTGTCCCTCACTGTTCAGCAGCTTTTTATCTCAGTGCTGTCCCTTCCCTGAGGAGACACATGTAGAAAAATGTTGCCAAGGTTGAGGTCAAAGAGGTTTTCTCTGAGGAGTTTTATGGTTTCAGCCTTCGATCCATTTGGGATCTATTTTGTGTGTGGTGTGAGAAAGTGGCCCGGTCTCATTCTTCTGCATGTGGCTGTCCAGGTCTCCCAGCACCATTTGTTGAAGAGATCTTTTCCCCATTGGATATTCTTGCCTCCTTTTGCTTCTTTTTCTTTCCCGTGGCTGTGACCAGCACTTCCAACGCTGTGGTGGATAAAAGTGTCTTGTTCCTGATCTTAGAGGAGAAAGCTTTCAGTTGTTGACCATCGAGTGTGATGTTAGCTGTGGGGTTGTCGTATGGGACCTGTATTAAGTTGCGGTCCACCTTCCAGTTTCTGCATAGTTCATTCTTTCATAACCTGTCCTGTCTTCAGTCGCTCCATTAACGTGTGCTAGCTCGTGTGTGTGAAAACAGACACCCGCCTTAACCGGACACACGGTACGTGTGAGCAGTGCAAGGGCTGCCGGCCCTCCCCATGCTTCTTCACCTCTTCTTCGTAACGCGGCTTCTGCCGGCTGCCAGGGTTGTTCTCCACTTCCTCCCCGTCTTTCACAGTTCCTTCTGCCTCCACCTCTCCATCAAGATTTGTCAGGGTCACCCGCTAACATCCGCGTCTGTAGCTTCGGTGCCCGCGCCACGACGCAGCCGCTCTGGGCACAAGTTGCTGTTCTTTACCACACCATCTTCCGTCGGCTTCGGGGTCACAGGGGCCTGGCCGTCCTCTCTCGCTCAGTCTCCGTTGCCGGCTTTCCTCCTCCTCTGCCGGACCTTGAGCTGTTTCGGTGCCACCCAGGGCCCTGGGCCTGGTTCTCTTCTGTCCCTGGCCTCAGCGCCATGCTCTTATTCACCGCTCCCTCCTTGTGCCTGGAGCTCGTGGGCAGCACCTAATTGTCTGTGTTCGGTGGCTGAAGGAAGTAAGTGAGGTTGTGTCCGACAGAGGAGTACGAATCCATTCTTTGAAGAAAAAGACAGTTCTCATTGTTCCTGGCAGTCCCGTTCTGTCCAGTCGCCGTGAACTCTCAACTAGCGAATACTGAAGAGTTGCTCCCAGGGTTCCTGTGAGCCTCTGGTCAACGGTGTTTTCATCAAGTGATGAATACATGAGCTCGTTTTATGTGTTTCTATTTAAAGGCATCTTATGTGAATACATATTGTTGATTTATTGACAACGAACTCATGGCAGCAACGCTGTAACTCATGCTAAACAAAGCTTATCTGATGCACGTGACTCTCCGGGAGGCACATCGCAGCTTCTTGCCCTTGGGAGCAGCAGACGGCGCTGTGGCTGGGGCCGTGTTAACTGCGAAGTCACTGACCGAAAGCCCAGAATAGACCACGCAAGGACAGTTGTTCACAGGATGAGCTGAACAAGAAAGCAGAGTGTACCACCCTGTCCGGCTTCAGCTGGGAACGTATACGTCCGGCACCTCAACATTTTTTTGCCGCTTTGTGAGTGTGCACGGAAGACTGTAGAAGCACCACAAGTACTAATTTGGGCGTTACAAATACACTTTAGCAACCAGGCAAATTTGCAGATAGAGAATCTGAATAATGAGGATCGACTGTATTTGGGAATAAGTTGTTTTCACCACTGATTTAACTTAGAGGGCAGTGAATTTAAATACTTTATAAGAAATCAGTGTCCCATAGGCCAGCTTCTCTTCACTGTCTCCCAGTCCCACCGTGAATAACGCTGAGGCTCCAGCTCTTGTTTCACCACTGAGGAAATGGGTACCGGGTCTTGAAGCTAGTGAACAGGAGAGTCAGGACTGCAGTCTGATTCCCACGAGGGGCCTGCCTCTCTTGGTCCCCGTCACACCCCCGACGTGCTGAGGACCGTGGCACTGCGGCGCTTGCCCAGTGCTCATGCTAGAACGAGCACACTTGGACTTTGCCACCCGAGAGCGTGGTACTCCTTCACCATTGGCACAAATATCGTGGGTAGCATTAGCCCACTCTTTAGATGGGACCTTAGTCAAGAGATTATTGTGTTTTGTTCAATCGTATTTTGAAAGGTTTGGGAAGTAACCCAGAATCTAATCCTAGGTCTATTTTCAATCATCCAACAAACTGATAACCAGCTACTCTGGGGCCAGGCGGTGCCAGACCTGGGGTTCAGCCTGCCCTGGCCAGGGACACCACTGATTGCCCAGTGGTAATGTGATAACTGCCAGAATGAGAAGCAGAGAAAGTGATTGATTAAGAGCATCCCAACAGTCATTAAATCCTGAAGAGGGAGACCTGGGACAGGGATGGAGGAAGTGCCCTCGGCTCCTGGGCCTAAACGGCCAGCCACCTCGCCCAGCCAAGTGTGGCGACCAGGAGCCCTCCCAGCAGCTTCTGGTCGTAATGTGGTGTCCCTGCCAGTTTCCGGGGGCACTAGTCAGAGAAAGCAAGTATTGGGCCCTGAAGGACATTCTCACTGCACACGATCAACTTTCTGGCTTCGGATCGGGCTCATCTGAGTTTGGTCACCCTGGCGATTGAGCTCTGCCATGTGCCAGACGGCATTGCAAAGGCTAGAGACCTGCCCAATAAAGAAAGAGCACATGTCCTGCCTGAGTGTGGCAGCAGGACCTCCCGTGATTCCGCCCCGCAGCCGAGAGTCAGGTCCTAGAAGGGACTGGCCGCCTTCTGAGATGCTGCCAGGCTGGGAGCTGCAGGCACCTGCTCTGTTTGCATCAAGGTTAGCCTGCTGCTGAGGGAAGGGGAACTTGTGTTTTGTGTAAAAGTGACTGTGAGGGGCGCCTGGGTGGCTCAGTCGTTAAGCGGCTGCCTTCGGCTCAGGTCATGGTCCCAGGGTCCTGGGATCGAGCCCCGCATCGGGCTCCCTGCTCAGAGGGAAGCCTGCTTCTCCCTCTCCTATTCCCCCTGCTTGTGTTCCTTCTCTTTGTCTTTCTCTGTCAAATAAATAAATAAAATCTTAAAAAAAAATAAAAATAAATAAGTAAATAAATAAATAAAAGTGACTGTGAATCAGACCCTTGATTTCACTGCCTATTCCATTCTAAGTAACAGCAAAATCCTGTAGTTTTTCCCCACAGGCACGTATTAGGTCACTTTGTACATACATGACTCTGGCTACCACCCAGCATGCAAGCACCTCATCGTGCTGAGCACAGCAGGCCATCACATCTACATGGGAACGACTGATACCAGGCATTTTCCTAGAAAGAGTTTCTCTCTTTTAAAAGATTTATTTATTTTAGAGAGAGAGCAAGCAGAGGGAGAGGGAGAATCTCAAGCTGACTCCTCACTGAGCGCGGAGCCCAGTGTGGGCCTTGATCCCAGGACCCTGAGATCATGACGTGAGCCGAAACCAAGAGTCGGGCGCTCAACCGGCTGAGCCACACAGGCGCCCCTAGAAATAGTTTTGTCTTAATAAAAGGTCCCTTGGAGCTTGTTCTTTCATTTTCTCTAGTAGTTGGGTTTCTAACCTAACTTAAGCGTGTCTTTGTTACACCATTTAAATCCAGCAGCAGAGCTAACGGAAAGGAATCCTTTCGAGTAACTTTGTATCTTTTGTGTGAGTTTTCACGTTAGGGCATCTGATTTACAGTGGACACGTTGCTGGGGCTTCAGATAGTCAGAACTTCCAGGTCCCCTGGGCTGGACCTGTCTGGTCGTCTGTGTTCTGTGTGCCCCGCTCCGGTCCCGGGAGATTGGGTGCGGCCTCAGGTCACTGTTGGGTTGAGGAACGGGTGTGTGCGTGAAAACACCTGGCACAGCTGTACTTCCGATGGCAGAGACAGGCCGCGTGCGGAAGTAACGTGGATTGTTGCCTCTGTGATGTTTCTACAGTCCAGTCTTCTCTTTGCTTCTAGATCTGAACTTACCAGGTATTTACTACTAAAACAAGGGCAGAAATAAAGATTGGGGACGTGTGGCATTTACTGGAGGTGGGGTGGGTGTGAGGTAACATCTATGGAGGGTCTGTTCTATCTGTTATTTCTGTGCAGGATGCTGTGTGCTCTCGTTTTTAACTCGCCATCCTATGAATAGGGGTGTCCCCACTTGAAGTGGGGAGCAGGGAGGTAACGGGTGTAGAGTGCTGGCTATATGGGCCAGTATCTGCAACCCCTCTTAACAATAACGGAGAGGAGAGAGGAACTGTGATCCCCATTTTACGTATGAGGAAGACAAGACGTGGAAAGATCAAGTCATGTAGAGATTACCTGAGGCCTGTGATTTGGCAGGAAAGGGCCAGGACCTCAGGTGCCGGCAGGGAAATGAGGCCTCATTCCTCATGGAGCTCACATTCCAGGGTGTGTATAAGGAGCCTCCCAGTGAGCAGGATGATGTGAGAGAGGAATGAGGAGGGGGAGCAGGGAGACCCGGTGAGCAGTCTGTCCGCGGCTCGTAAGCGGTGAGTGTAGCCCCAGTCTGTCTGCCCACAAGCTGACTTCCACACTGCCGTGTTCTGGGACCATCCCCACAGCCCGGTCCCATCAGCAGGCAATCACTGTGTAAGCCCGTGGTGCTCTGCTGGACGTGTGTGTTTACTTGAAATGCATTTGTGTGTGTGACCGGATTGCACCTGTTGACGTGAATACATACATATGTTTTTTCTTGCTTTCAGCTGATACTGAAGATGTGTGCATTGTAGAAAGATTGTTTTCAAGCAGCTTAGTGGCCATCGTTAGCCTCAAAGCTCCTAGGAAGCTCAAAGTTTGCCACTTTAAGAAAGGAACCGAGATCTGTAACTACAGCTACTCGAATACCATCCTGGCTGTGAAGCTGAACAGGCAGGTGAGTGACACTCGACCCAGACTGCCAGGTGCTCTGTCCGTGTCTCACTGCTCGGTGTGGCCCTTGGCTGTCACTGCCATCGCAGTTTCCTGCAGTGGTCTAGGAAAGCTGACAGTCCTGGTCCCCCAGCCCTTGGCCCCGGCACCGCTCACCTCACACCACCTCCCCGACTCAACTCTGTTTTCTCAACAGTTTGCTCAAAGCACGCCGTCCCTCACTCTCCGCCAGGCTGTTTTCCTCATCCATCGAGACACGAACCGTAGCATTTTTCTGTATACCATATGCTCATCCATAGAGCTGTGTCATGGCTTGTTCACCTTCTCTCGCTTTTATAGGTGTTACTTTGAAAAAGTCTGCTGGCATCATTTTCCTGTTTTCTTCTTATTTCTCTTTTAAACTTTACTTTTTTTTTTTCATAAGATGATCTTTTTTTTTTAAGATTTTATTTATTTATTTGACAGAGAGAGACAGCGAGAGAGGGAACACAAGCAGGGGGAGCGGGAGAGGGAGAAGCAGGCTTCCCGCGGAGCAGGGAGCCCGATGTGAGGCTCGATCCCAGGACCCTGGGATCATGACCTGAGTCGAAGGCAGACGCCTAACGACTGAGCCACCCAGGCGCCCCTAAACTTTACTTTTAAGATGAAAGACTTACTCCTTCTTTTTTATGTTCCCCAAACTCACAAGAATGTCTGGCGCAGAGTATGGACTTGGTGGCTAGCCCTTGAGTTTATTTCATGAGAGCACCTCATGGCTTTCGCTTCCCCACAAAATGTAACAGCGCCCCGAAGATCCTTCAGCTTTTCTGTGGCAAGCGCATGTTCCATACGGGGAAAGCTAACGAAGTTGGTGGATGTGAGATGCACGTCACCACGATGGGGCGGGGGTGGGGTGGGCGGTGGTCCGCGGTGTGCTGGCTGGGTAGATGGTTGTGGTGGAGGCCTGCTGGGATTGCTCTGTGAACTGAAGGACATGTTTACAATGGGAAGTTATAAGGCATAACATGTCGAACATTCTTTAAATGTAAAATATACACGTGTACATTCACGCACCAACTAACGTGGTTCTGCACGCATGCCAAGTTGTCTTTCCTGCATGAACCATCCCCTTGGTGCATCAGCTACAAGTACATTCCTCTTTAAAGTGGAGTGTGAACTTAGACACCTGCAAATAACGCGAGCACAGCGTGAGTTTTGAGACTTTAGAAACCCCTAGGCTTTTATTTTTATCTTGCGATGCTTCATTCAACATGGGTTTTTGGAAGCAACTGACCTTTACCAGACGCGTCCAAGGCACTTGCTCTGATTTTCATGAGGGGAGGGTGAACAAAGACAAACTGAAAACACAAACCGTACCTTTCTTAGCTATAGTTTACCAGTTTCCGCAATCGTGCACTCAATCGCGTGGTTGGAGGGCCTGATACAGTTGGCAGAAGTGGTTGTGGGAGCAGACACAGCTGGTGTGGACACTACTGGGTGGGTAGATGAGGCACATGGCGCCGCAGGAAAGCGGCCTGGTCACGGCCAGTGTCCACTGGGCCGCACGTGTCCAGTCTGCCTGGCGTGCTGGAAGGAACCGGGGGCGTCTTCGGCCAGGAGCCGATCAAGTAAAGATGGGAGCAAGGATCGTATTGGCTCTTGATGTTTGGTTTTCTGTTTCTTCTCTCTTCCCTAGCGGCTAATAGTATGCCTGGAGGAGTCTCTCTATATACACAACATTCGGGACATGAAAGTCCTGCACACGATTAGGGAGACCCCTCCCAACCCTGCAGGTAAGCTCACTGTGGGAAAAACATCCACTTTTCTGATTCTACCTTTTAAAGATTAGCTATTTTCTCCTTGTAGGTTCCACCGGGATAGCTTTTGAAAGTATTGATCTTAAACCAAGTAAGCTACCTTCCTTCTGCTGCTGGTCTAGTGATCACATAATCATTGGTTTCGTCAGCTTCCAATTCTGAGGCTGCTGATCAGTTCCCACCATGGCCTTCAGCCTGTTTTTATAACCCTCCTGTTCCCTGAGGAGGTGGTTTGGGGGTGTGGCACTTGAAACAGACCAGCACAGCAGCTCCCAGGGCCGTGTCTGAGCCCCCTTACTTACTCCAGTCTCTGTTGGGCAGATGCTCACTTGCGTGTAGCAACTAAACGGGAACCCCTCTGGACCCAACTCTCCGTGTTTGCCTCCTTGTGTTACCACAGGCCTCTGTGCACTGTCCATACACAACGACAATGGTTACTTGGCGTACCCAGGCAGTGCCACCATCGGGGAGGTGCAGGTCTTCGACACTATGAACTTGGTGAGGCTCCGAGGCTCCTTCTGTGCCGGGGTCCCTCTCGCCAGCGTCCCCGCTCTCTGCAACAAGCACGTGGCGCCGTTGGCGTCCGCCTTTCCTTGGCTCGGCAGGGCAGGTTTCACTGCCGCCTTCTTAATGACAGAGCAGGCCTGGGCGACCCCTGCCTGCAGATTTCTGCCCGTGCTGCCACGGCGCGGACCTCCCGGCAGTGTGGCTGCTTGGAGGAATGGAGAGAGCGCCAAAGACTTCATGGATCCAGGGCTTGGCTTTCTGGAAGGTTCCGAGCAGCCTTTCCTCGGGCCCCTCCCCCAGTAATTCCGGCGCATGTGGTTCTCGTATTGACCGGGTTGGGGTTTTAGTCACAGCCACTTGGCACTTCAGCCTGATGACCAGGGGCGGCGTGGGGTGCGGTCTCGCCGCGTGGCGGCCGCGTCACATTGGTTTTGCCTTCCAGAGAGCTGCGAATATGATCCCGGCTCACGACAGTCCTTTGGCAGCGCTGGCGTTTGACTCCAGCGGAACCAAGCTCGCCACTGCCTCGGAGAAGGTGCGTCTGCTGTGGCCCGGTGGGACACTGGCTCGGGGCTTCGGCGCGCTTCCGCTCACACAGCCGAGGCACCGAACGGGTTTGTGCCGACCGGCCCCCAGAGAAGCACACGCAGCTCCCCGCCTGGAGCGCGCTCTGCCGCCGGAGCGCCCGTGTTCGGGGCGGGCGCGCGGAGGCGTGCAGAGGAGGTGTGCGTGCGTGAGCGGCAGCCCCGGCCGGTGTGCTTCTCGGGGACGCGCTAGTGGGTGCCGTGCCGCGGACGTACTTCCGGCCAGGGCAGGTGTGAACACATTTCCGTGTGTTTCCCTTCCTTCTTTTTCTGTTACTTAACAAAATTGTGGTCATCCCATACGTGTAATTTACCATGCCCTTTCACTCTGCATGATACTAGATTTCTCGAAGTTCAAAAACACTTCTAATGGCCGTACAGTGTTCAGTCGTGGTTTACTTGACCGTTGCCCTTTGGGGACGTTTATATTGTTCCTAATTAGATTGCAGTAATATAATAACATTTGGAATATAGATAATTCTTACATAAAAATCTCTTTTTTCTGCATCCTTACTCACTTAAGAGATTCCAGTGAGTGGGTGCCTCGGCTCAGTTGGTTAAACATCTGACTCTGATTTCGGCTCAAGTCACAATCTCGGTCGTGAGATCAAGCTCCATGTCGGGCTCCATACTGGGCAAGGAGCCTGCTTAAGATTCTCGCTCCCACTACTCCTCCCCCCCACAAAAGAAAGAGAGAGTCCAGTGGGCAGACTTTCTGAGTTAAAAGGATGTGGTCTTTTTAAAGTTCTCTCCACGTAGGGCAGAGTGACTTTGGCCTTCCCTCCAGCTTCCATGACAGCAAAGGGTCCTCGCTCTCTTCCTGGCGTGGCTGCTACATCTTGTTCCTTTGCTGCTCTTCTCATCTCGATAATCCCCACTCTCTGGCCTTGCTCTTGACGATCTCATTTGTTCTGGCTTGTTCCTCCCCGCCAGACACCAGTACCGGCTTTTCAGTTGCCTAATTTTGCTTTGATGCTTTCTCACTAAAAAAACACCTACAGTAGCCTCCCTCTGGTTGCCTCTCCCCTTGGCCCAGCCAACCAAACAAGATCTGAGAAAAGTCCGCTCACTCCAGCTTTCCGGCACGGGTCTCTGTGCTTGCCTGTCGTCCGAGTTTCTGTAAGAACGGTGCTGCCGTCTGTCATCACTTAGTCCTCGGGAATACAGATCCTTTGTATTCATGACCCTATTCCTTCCCCTCAGCAAGGTCAACACTTTCTCATTTCATATCAGGGCCTTAGAGACATTAAATGATTTGCTCAGTCACCAAGTTGGGCAGCGACCGAGGCTTGGACTCCGAGCCTGACTTTGCTTCTAAATGCCGCTGGCTGATGACGCTTCCACCTTGTCCGTTTCTGCCAGAGTGGCCGTGAGATCTTGATACGCCTTGGTTAATAGTCTCAGCTCTGTAGTTTGCATTAGGTCCTGGAAGCTCTCTAAAGCACTTTGTGGAATCTCAAGGCCCTTAAGAATAGAAGGATTTTTTTTTTCTGGGCTAGGAAGAACAATCTCTTGATTTGCTTTTAACCCCCCGCGGCCTCCCCCATCCTGCTGGGTGCTGGGGCCGGGCCTAGCTATGTGCTTAGTGCTGCTTTCGGGGAGTGCAACCAGGCTGGGACCAGCAGCCCTTGCTAATTAGTGTTATGCACTAGATAAGCCAGTAAAAAAAAAAATCTCTAAATCAGAAAGTTGAGACTACAAAGGATCAAATCTTCACTGTGGTTATTTTGGTATGTGACTGTGCTGTTTTATCCTTCTGGTTTTCAAGAATTACAAACTCATTTGGTATCCGTTTATCCAGAGAGAATCATTGTCTTTAAAAAACATTTTATTTTAAAGATTTATTTTAGAGAGCGAAAGAGAGAGTGTGTGCCTGCACACAGGTGAGGGGCGGGGTGGGGGGGTGGTCCTCCTGCTGAGCATGGAGCCTGACTCGGGGCTCCGTCCCACAACCCTGAGATCATGACCTGAGCCGAAATCAAGAGTTGAACACTTAAGAACTTAGCCACCCTAGCGCCCCTTTTAAATAACATTTTAAAGAAAGTTTCTGGTGTTCTATAATTAGGTTATTTATAGTTTATGTCTGATATTATTAACAGTTTTTTACACTAAACAGTTTGAACCTTCCAAAATATGTCAGGTTACGTGTTCCTGCCCCGCGAATTTGAAATACTGCCTGTTTTCAGGTTTTCCATTTTGTTCTAGGAGTCTCTTTCTTGTTGTGCTATTTTATTACCGTAGCTTGCTAGTATTCTTTTAACATTTCGATGTTGAAAGTCCCATTTGTGTTCACTTTCTTGGCTGTTTTCTCTTACTCTCCCAGATGTCCAAGTCCTGTCTCTCCAGCCACAAAGGCCCTGTTACTTTGGGGGAGGCAGGACTGGGGGGTGCGGCAGGGACTCTGGCATCTCCAGAGTGCCTCATCTCCGTGCCGGGAAGGGCAGCAGCTCGTCTGCTCACTCATAGACTCCTCTGCCCGGTCCCGGAAGCCCCGCCGATCAGTAACTCAGCCTGAAGTACAAGGAAGGATGTGGGGGGGGCCACAGACCTCTCAGACCTCAGCTGAGTTAGGTGGTGCCTCCCGACGAGCAGATGGTGTGTGTGAGGTGACTTAGAAATAACTAGAGCTGTTGTACGTGTGACATCAAGACTGTTGGTGTTTGGGAGAAACAGTGAGTCCTGGTGGCGGCTGTATCTACAGAAAAGAGGAAATACACAGTCGGGGGTGGAAGCCGGGAACGTGTGTTTCCCCCTCGTGTTTCCTTCAGAGTCTGAGGAGGAGACACAGGCTGGGTTTCCTCGGCTACAGTCTTTTTTCTTTCTTTTTCCACCTGTCACAGGGGACCGTGATTAGGGTATTCTCCATTCCAGAGGGACAAAAACTCTTTGAGTTCCGGAGAGGAGTTAAGAGGTAAGATATGTAAGTTTTCGGAATTGATCTGGAGCTAACATTTGGACTTCAGTTCTGTTTTCTCTGGATCAACAAGTGGAGACTTAGAGCAGCCCTGGGAACCCCATTTAAATGCATAAGTGTTTTCAACCCCCCTGGGTGGTGAGGGGAGGCTTTGGAGTCCTCCTGAGGGGTAAAGGAACGTTTTTATAAAGCGAACTGGTTTTCCTTTGTCTGTGATCCCACCTGAACGGAGGGCGATGGCCGGGCAGCCCGGGAATCAGGAAGAAGTGGCCTGTGGGGCCGCGTGGCTTCCTCCACCTGGTCCGAGGTGGCAGGCCAGTGACTTCCTGACCTGGCCAGCATGCTCCTGTCCTGCCTCTCTGCCCTGAAAACCTGCCCCCAGCTCCCCTCCGCCCTGTCATCACTTACTTCCCTGTCCGTCTACACACCTCCCTTCCTTGATGCCAGCTCCGGACAAAGGAACGTCCATCCTGCTTAGGCCTGGATCCTCTGCCGCAGGACTGGCTCCGGGGGTCTGGTCCCCATTCCAGGGGGGGCAACTGAGAGTACCCACCTCAGGGCGGGAGCTGGGCCAGGAGGTGTTCCAGAACTGCCCCCTCCTCTGGGGACCTCGCACTGTGTCACCGCTCCCTCTCGTCCGCGGGGTCCTTCCCACAGACGGCACACGCGTGCTTTAGGGTCCTAGCTCCCGTGCCCCAGCCCCTCCGCATCACTGCCTCCTGTGTTTCTTTCCCTTTTTCCCTTGGTTTTCCTTACACCACACCATTCTAGATTTGTCATCTTTTGTTGTTCCTGCTCCGCTTCCTCCTCTCGTTATCTCACTTCTGCCCTGGAGCCTCGTTCATCCCACCCTGTGCGGTCCCACAGGCCCCTGCCCCGTGTTGTCTGGGTGCTGCTACTCCTCGCCTGTGTGTGTAGCCCAGGCTGCCTTCTGAGCGACCAGCCAGAATGTGCCCATCCTCGCTCACGTGCCTTACCACGTGGTAGACGCTGCCACGGTCATCGACCGGGTCCGAGTCAGAGGGGCTCGACACTGGCCCCCTTCTCCCTTCCAGTTAGGTAGGGGTGTCGGTGCCCCGGGCCAGTCCCACCGACCCCCATCTCCCCGGCGCCCCTGCCCGCCCGGGGTTGGATCGCCACCGTCTGACCTCTCGTGTGCCTTGGTCTCTGCTGTTGGCCCCTCTGGTCCGTTCTTCAGACCGTGGCCCCAGTTGCTCTTTGAGGGTGTCCGCGCAGTCAGCACACCCCGTGTGGAGCCTTCAGGGCCCGCCTCACGCCGGTAGGGCTAACTCCAGACCCCGCAGCCCTGGTCTCTGAGCCCGGCCTCCCGCACTCTGCCTTTTCAGCTCTGTCTTCCCTGTCGCTCCCAACTCCTACCACACCAAACGGTCGTTCCGCCGAGCAGCACCCTGTGTCCAAAACATTTTATTTTAAAGATTTATTTTAGAGAGCGAAAGAGAGAGTGTGTGCCTGCTGGTGTCCGTCCAGTCGGGAACCTGGTCGCAACCTGGTCTCCCAACTCCTGCCACACCAAACGGTGGTTCCGCCGAGCAGCGCCCTGTGTCCACGGGCTCTCCTTTGCTGGTGTCCGGCCCGTGCCCGGCCGACTCCTGAGCCCTTGACGTCTGTGTCGAGTGTCTGTGCCTCGGGAAGGCCCCCCGACCCGCTCGCGGAAACCCGCCTTGCCCCGTGCTCCCCCAGCTCGGCCCCTTCACTTCCCGCGGGCTTCGCTTGCCGCACCTTTCCCGTCTGCACCCATGCGTCCCTGGGAGCGCCGGCAAAGCAAGAAGCCTCCCTCGTTTATCACCAGAGCTTTGTACAAGCCCTCCGGGCGAAACGCGCCTTGTCCTTGTAGGGCTGTGAGGAAATGCACATTTATTGGAGGCTTTGGGATTTTTACAGTGACTTTTAAGATCAACTATAGAGTCTTAGCATGTTGAAAATTTTGCTTTATTCTTCAACATTACCAAGGTGGTCAGTTTCCTTGCACGTTAAGAATTGCTATAACTTACTTACTGGGTTTTCTTTTACTAACCTTGGTGCTGTAAATGCAGCCTAATTCAGCTGAAAACGGTGTAATGAAGCTCTGATTCCCTTTGTTATTTGGAATTTCAAAGAAAATTGGCTAAGAAAATATTAAAGAATTGCTCTTAACTTGGTATTACCTTTAAAACATTTCCCTTTCTTTAGAAAAATTTTTGGAAAGCTGTCTGGAGGGGCGCCTGGGTGGCTCAGTTAGTTGAGCGTCTGCCTTCAGCTCGGGTTGTGATCTCGGGGTCCTGGGATTGCGCCCTGTGTTGGGCTCCCTGCTCAGCGGGGAGCCTGCTTCTCCCTCTCCCTCTGCCCCTCCCCCCTTCTCGTGCTCTCACTCTCAAATAAATAAAATCTTAAAAGAGAGAAAGAAAAGAAAAGATGTCTGGAGAGGAATAAGAAAGATACCAGTAGACCCAAGTCTGCCTGTTCTGGGAACTTTTCTTCTCTGACATTTTAAAGTCCCTGGAGAAAGGTTGCTAATCACTGGCACCAGGGTTTGTGGGCGACCGCGTAACTCCAGCCCCCTTCCGCTCGCCCGCAGGTGTGTGAGCATCTGCTCCTTGGCCTTCAGCATGGACAGCATGTTCCTCTCCGCATCCAGCAACACTGAGACTGTGCACATCTTCAAACTCGAGACTGTGAAAGAAAAGTGAGTTGCAAAGACACAATTGTTTTAAAAAACACAAGGCCCTTCTCCACTGACTGGATGGGAACACCACACAGACCCTGTCCTGCCTTCAGTAATTTTTGCCAATAAAGACCCTGGAGCTGGCTCTAGAGTAAGGTGACACCAGACCCGGGCTCGGCAGGGAAATGGCCTTCCCGGAAAGAGGAAGCCGGGAGGGTGAAGATGGACGTCCTGGGGTCCGTGCACCCGTCCACCTCTTAGCAGCACCTTGACCCACAGAAGCACTTAAGGGTAGACGCCCCCTCGGGGTGGGGTCTGGCTCCAAGCTGCCCACAGGCGGGTTCCGTTCTTAGAGCAGTTGATTGAAATTACGTGTTACTCTGAGGGATGTGCATGGTGGAGGGCTGGTTCTTTCCTTAAATTTTAACAGGACCCACTAGGATGAATACTGTTTGTACGTTGTCTTATTCAGAGGAACATTTAAGATGACTTAAAATATATGCAAGATGAACAACAGCAAAAATGGGCTCTGGGAAAATAATTTGAGATTTTGCTTATAAGGTTTTTGGAGACTTCGTATTAAAGAGATCTGGGGCGGGGGGCGGTCACGAATTTAGCTCTGTACGTCCTCACATTTGCTGCAAAGTCGGGGGGCGGGGGGCCTAATCATCTACCACAGTCTAATGTGGCCGCTCAGGAGAGCACGGCTATTCTGGGCTCTGCAACCTGACGGGCCTCCTCTGACCCTTCCCGGAAGACACACCCATAGTGCTCCCAGGCTCCCGAGACGTTGTCGTTCTCTGCACCTCTTTTTCCTGAGGTACGGGCAAGTCCTCTTCGAGTTTCAGGGCTGATACTTGCTCCTGAAGTGGGACCTGGTCATTCTGGTGAAGAGCCCACCATCTGATGATGGTTCCTCCTCCTAGACCTCAGGAGGAGCCCACCACCTGGACCGGGTACTTCGGGAAGGTACTCATGGCTTCCACCAGCTACTTGCCCTCCCAAGTAACAGAAATGTTCAACCAGGGCAGAGCCTTTGCCACAGTCCGCCTGCCTTTCTGCGGCCACAAGAACATCTGCTCGCTGGCCACGTGAGTATGGACGGGGTTGCCTCTCCCGTTTGCTGGTGTCCATCCAGTCGGGAACCTGGTCGCAAACCCCGGAGACGGTGGCACTAGGGCCCGGCTAGGTTTCTCCTGGTCCAGAAACAACCCACAAACCTGGGCCTTTGACTTGGTCAAAGTGGATGTGGAGGGAACCCTCTCCACCATTACTAGCCTCGAATGACTCGTCTGCCGTGTTCTGATCCAGAAAGTCTTCCTCCGTTGGTTGGGATGTTTGTAACGGTAGTGAAAAAACACCATTAAGTCAAAACTGTAGGAGGTTGCCAGTAGTTAACCCTTCGGGGCCTACGGAACCGGCTGGTTAACACAGTCGGAGGCTGTCCGTGCGGCTCCGGAGTAGCCTGAGAACGCGCGTGGCGCTTCGTGAGCCCTGTTGGATTCCCGCCGGGCAGGAAAATACGGTCTTGAAAATCCTGTGATTCCATGGATCTTTTTTTTTTTTTTTTAAGATTTTATTTATGTGACAGAGAGAGATAGAGCAGGAACACAAGCAGGGGGTGAGGGAGAGGAAGCAGGCTTCCCGCGGAGCAGGGAGCCCGATGCGGGGCTCGATCCCAGGACCCTGGGACCATGACGGTTAACGACTGAGCCACCCAGGAGCCCCGATTCCATGAATCTTACAAATGTTATTTTACGTCCTTTTTGTGCAGCTAATAACTCAGGGGAAAAAGCTTATGAGAATACCCACCCTTAGTAACTAGAGAAGCCCTGAAACTGCTTTTACTCACACCGGTTCTCCTGTGGGCCTCGGTGTTTGCTCACAGCAGGTACCCCCTCAGCCTCGATGCCGCAGCTCAGGCAGCACAGCGGGCGCGGTCCTTCTCCTGACCCGTAGGTAGTATGTCGAGCGCCCGGAACCAGCTCGTGTTCACATGGGGTGGGGGTGCCCAAGGCAAGGCTGCCGGTGTAATCGGAACATCGTCTGCAAGTTGCGGTCCTAGGACGGGGCTCCTTTTTATTCCCGCTAGAATTCAGAAGATTCCCCGGCTCCTGGTGGGAGCTTCCGATGGGTACTTGTACATGTACAACCTGGACCCCCAGGAGGGAGGCGAGTGCACCCTGATGAAACAGCACAAGTAAGTGGGCCTCCCCTCAGCCGTGCCCTCGGGAGCCGGGGGCGCAAGGGGCGCATCCCGGTGGAGCTGGCCTGTGCTGGGAGGCTTTGCTTCCCCCACACTCCCGCTCTCCTGCGCCCCCTGCCGGCGTCCCGTTCACTGCCCGGGTGGAGGCTGGACAGGTGGCTGGTGCGGGACGAGGCGGGCTGAGGCAGGAACGTAGCATGTTGCAAGGAAGGGACGATGCTCTGGCGTCATCCCCAGAGTGGCCCGCGTCCCCGGAGCACCTGCCGTGTGGTGGTGACATGTAGCTGTTCTCTCTGACGGGAAGGCGGTGGTATTTGTTCATTGGGAAGTAGTGCAGTTTGATTTTGCTTCTGCTTTTTTAGGACTATCCAGAAATTCTCTAAAAATGATACTATAATGCTATAATTATAATGGGGGTGAAAGTGGGGTATTTTCTTTATAGTGAATTCTGTTTATGATCCTCAGTCTGAACACGGAAGATCATCTCCGTGGGTGTAACTTCTTCCCAAGTACAAATCAGGTGAAGCTCCGCGGGAACAGGCACGCGGGATGAGCACGCTCGGGTCCACGTTGAGCGGCCTCGTGCCTTTGCTGCATCACGTCTGCCAGGACCCCCGACCGGCCTCAGTGTCTCTGTCTCTCCGCTTCCTCCAGGTTGGATGGCAGCATGGAGACGACCAATGAAATCTTAGACTCAGCCTCTCACGACTGCCCGTTAGTGACCCAGGCCTACAGCACGGCTGTCGCCACAGGTACTCACGTGCCTTCGTCTCCGACCAGACTTGGTAAGGCTGTGACGCGAGCCTGGAAGGCACATGGTGCCAGGCCCTCCCGCTGCGGTCCGAGCTTGGCGCTTTTCCCCCGAGCGGCGCGGCCCACCCGCCACTTTCCCCCGGGCAGGGGACAGGTGGGCTCAGAGGCAAGCTCTTGTCAGATGGGGATGTCAGGCTGAATTCATTTTCTTCATTGTTGAAGGAAGAATAGTCACGATGGCTCAGGCTGCTTTGGGCACACGTGAATTGTCCCTGGCTAGCAGCCTCTCGGCTACAGTATTACCCTGAATTCTGACATTGCCAAGCAGGTGTCCTTGGTCCTGTGTCATCATTCAGTAAGCACACGTAGGACCCCCCCCCCCCACTCAGCTTTCGGGCCCTGGGAGGACGGCATTAAAGGCCTGCCTTTGGGGCCCCTCCTGCGGGTGCTGGGCAGTCATCGTGCAGACAGATGAGGCCACGCAGCCATCCCCCCTCCCCCCGCAACCAGCTTGACCTCAGGTGGGCGATCCTGTAGATTTGCTCACACAGGAGACTGCGTGCTGACCGTGACTCAGAGATGAAGCGTTCCTTTCCGTCAGGTGAAGCACTGTCTGGCGTCAAGCATCTGGCATCACCAGTTTGAGAACTATCCCCATCCTCCCTGTTCACTGAAGAAAATCTGTGGCCTGTCCTTCAGGAAGCCCCTATTTACTGTGCAGTGTCTTTTTGACATTGATGAATTTTGGAAAATAAAGGACTTTGTCTTGAGCTGCCCAAGGCTGCAAAAAGCTTGTAGTCAGAGATGGATCACAGTTTAGTCTTAGTGTGCACTGCAGCCTGTAGCTGCCAGGCCTTGCCTCCCCGCCTCCCCACCTCCCTGCTTCCCTGCCTCCCAGCCTCCCAGCCTCCCCACCTCCCAGCCTGCCTCCCCGCCTCCCGGCCTCCCTGCTTCCCTGCCTCCCAGCCTGCCTCCCAGCCTCCCAGCCTGCCTCCCTGCCTCCCAGCCTCCCTGCCTCCCTGCCTCCCAGCCTGCCTCCCCGCCTCCCAGGCTCCCAGCCTCCCCGCCTCCCAGCCTCCCTGCCTCCCTGCCTCCCAGCCTCCCTGCTTCCCTGCCTCCCAGCCTGCCTCCCCGCCTCCCAGGCTCCCAGCCTCCCAGCCTCCCTCTCAGCCTCCCTGTCTCCCTGCCTCCCGGCCTCCCTGCCTTCCCGCCTCCCAGCCTGCCTCTCAGCCTCCCTGCCTCCCCACCTCCCAGCCTCCCAGCCTGCCTCTCAGCCTCCCTGCCTCCCCACCTCCCAGCCTCCCAGCCTGCCTCTCAGCCTCCCTGCCTCCCCACCTCCCAGCCTCCCTCTCAGCCTCCCTGTCTCCCCGCCTCCCGGCCTCCCTGCCTTCCCGCCTCCCAGCCTGCCTCTCAGCCTCCCTGCCTCCCCACCTCCCAGCCTCCCAGCCTGCCTCTCAGCCTCCCTGCCTCCCCACCTCCCAGCCTCCCAGCCTGCCTCTCAGCCTCCCTGCCTCCCAGCCCCTGAGCATGGCCGTGCTGTCTCTTTGCAGCCTACACAGACGAGCTGGGAGCAGTGGGCGGCACATGTCTGGAAGAGGAGGCCAGCGCTCTGCGGCTGGAGGAGGACAGTGAGCATCCTCCTATGATTCTTCGGACTGACTGAACTTGACCTGTGAACTCTGACCCCCAAAGCAGGGAACACTGGCTTGATGGAGGACTTTGTGTTATGCTGCTATGAACTTTGACCCGAGCTGGAGAGAGGATGGCAGAGACTTTAAAAAAAAAAAAAAAAAAAAAAAAAGATTGTAGCTGTAGTCTCATTCCATACTGTTGAGAAATACATCGTTTTCACTTCAGTGGCTTTTAATCCTGCTTAGGAATCTTAGCTTTTTGTTTTCTCTTTTTGCCAAAATTAACTGTTTGGTGAAGCCCTTGAAACCTTGCTTTGCATGCATTAACGTGCCAAGCCAGAGTAGGAGAACTAGAAGCCACTTTATGACAATGGCAGTTGTTGGGTTTTTAAAATCTGTATAGAATGAGGAGTGCACACGAGGAGGTGGCATCGTGCAGAGTGGTCTAGGTGTCAAGGCGGGTTCTGCTCGGGCGGGTCCAAGAGCCCTCTCTGGGCTTGCCAGGCTTGGGGGCATCAGCCGTGGGGAGGAGAACTCTCTCCCCAGAGCCCCCCATGGGCCCTTTTCCCCCATTTTATTTTGTTAATTAAATTCTTTCCAAATTGGATTATTCTGGGATTTCTTGCTTGCTGGACTTTTATCTTATTTTCCATGTGGGTATTGGAGGAGAGGAGTTCTTTCTGGTATTAAAAATCTTCCTTTCGGACAGCACGTGAACTTGAAAGAACACCTCAGAAGGCCAGAGCGAGGGAAAGTGGTCTCAGTTGTGTAATTAAATTACCTGGTCTTTTAATTTTCCTGTTGAATAAGTGGGGTGATGGGGGAAGGGGTGCTTGTTCTTAGGGAATTTTATAGCTATTCCCTGTACCCATGGAGCACAGAATTACAGTGTGGGGGGCACCCAAACTGCCCTCTGACCTTGAGCCCCGCCGTCTGTCAGGGGCTCTTCCCACCTGCATCAGAAATACTAGAGATAGAAACTCCGGGGGGTATGGGCGGGAGGCTGGCTCTGAGCACCTGCTTCACAGGGTGATATGTGCCTTTTCTATTTTAATCTTACAGAATTGTTCAGAAAAGTGACGGGAGATTGTGGTCACAGGTCCTAGTGTTAGCCCAGCTCCCCTTTTCATTTTTACAGAGTTACATAACCGCAGATACCTCAAACTGCATTCCAAACCAAGACATCTAGCAGTCCAAGTTTTGAGGCAATTCAAGTGGCATTAATGGTGTAAAAGATCATTCTAGAATCTTTGGAATGGTGACGGTTAAAGACAGAAGTAAAAAAAATACATATATATACATATTCTGGATCCGCCCTCCCTTTTCCCTTTGTCAGGCTTCTGAGCAGGCGAGGGCCAAGCGTCCGCTCCGGGTTGTGTTGGTCGTGACGGTCGCGTGGCCTAGAGGTGGGGAAGAGGGCAGTCGTTGGTGGCACGGACGGCCCACCCTACATGCCCGACCCCGAGGTGGAGGCCTTGGTGCAGAGGGCACGCAGAGTAAGTCCTGACTGGAGCGGAAATCTCTAGAAGCACTGGTTACGGCGGCCACCTGAGGTGCTGTGCTAGTTGGAGATGAAGGGATACGCTCTCCTTTGCCCAGCGGCTGGCACGCCGGCCTGCACCCTCATGAGCCATGAGCTTCCGTCCCAGGTGTGACATGCACGCGTCGGCTGAGCCCCGAGCCGGGGAGGACTCGCGGGGCCCGCCCGGGACACAGCCTGCCTGTGTCGGGCCTGCAAGGCCCCCTCTCGGTCCCCTCTGGAGCAAGGCATTGGACTCCAGGTCTTCAGTGGCGCATTTGGCCGGGGTGAGCATTCACGGGAAAATCAGTGCAAAGGGGCGCACGGCGGGTGGCGGGCCCTGCGCTCGGGCCTCCTGATTACTGAAGACAGAACTGCCTTTCCCGTGTGTTAAACATTGCCCATCGGGGCGTCTGCTGGTTGGCCCCCGCACGCGCGGTGACGTTGGGAGTCGGATCTGCGCTGTGTGTCTCCCGGCAGACGTCGTGCCTTCGTCTGACCCAGGAGCCTGGGGATGCCCTTCCCCGTCAGCCGCCATTTCCTCCACGGTAGGATGGGCTGTTAGAACAGGTGGCCTGAGCGGCTTGCGACCGTCGCCCCTGCCTGCCCCAGGGCCCCGGCAGGGCTGGCCGGGTGCTGCTTTGAGCCGGGGCGTCAGGAGGCCTGAGATGCGTGCGGGGACGGGAAAGGGGAGAACCCGAAGAGGCTGCCGAGATGCTCGTTAGCAGAGCTCTTGCCACCGCCCTGCAAGCTCAGACGGAAAGGCACCGCAACGAACCCGACGTGGCACTAATTTGCTCAACTCCAGACCATACGCCAATGTTAACTTTCGTCATCATGTTCCAAGCTCCCGAAGGAATCACGGGATAGGAAACAGAACCCAGACACTTCCCTCATAGACACGTGTGGATTGGGACCAAACCGAGTTTTCTAAAGCCGTGGAAGCCACGGTTGGAGTCGGATTGAAGCTGGAGTTGGAAACACCTGCGTGGAGCCCCAGATTCTAGCACCTTCCTGGTGGCGTGGCCTGGGTGGGCCCCCGGGGGCCCGGGTCTCCTGTGCTGGACCGCAGGACGATCCCTGCCTGGCGGGCGGTGCCCGTAAACCCTGAAACAGAAACGGGTCTTACGGAATGCAACCGACGGTGGCTCTTCAGTTCTTGATTCTGAATACTAAGCTGGTCGGAAAAGTAAAATAAGAGCAACGGAAGTATACGGCACATGGAGGGCACGTGGCTCCCCTTCGTCCCCGCCTTTCCCGCTCCGCCTGCATGGGTGTCAGGGAGGGGGCTGGGGAGACGCACAGCCAGAGCGCTGCCGGTCCACGGTCCCCCCAGGGCAGAGCCCCCTCCGCCAGCGTGGGACACCGGCTCCCCTGGAGCACTGATTTGCCCCGCGCCTGCCAAGGGCGGAGTTCCCAGGCTTTGCCTACTCATGGATCCGTTCAGGGAGCAGACGGGAAGACGGGGGCTCTTACAGGAAAGACTAGGTGTGCTCGGGTCACAGCCCTGCAAAAGGAGGCGGGTGGTCAGCGGCGGGAACAGTGTCCCTGGCCCCACACTGCTGTCCTTGGCCGCATGTGGCCCCTGCTGGGTTGGTCTGTGTGTCCCCCGCCCTAAATGCCCTGAGGCCCCGTCTTTGGCATGCAGGGAATGACAGGAACGCTCATTTAAAATGTCTTTGTGACACTGGCTAGCACAGCTGAAAATCCAAATACGTTATTTACAAGTGTACTTAACTTAATTCTCAAGGTGGACAGGTCGAGAACTTGTGGTTTGGGTCCGGCGGTGTCAGAGACGTCAAAAGAAAGTGCATTCAAGCCACTGGTATTCTGTTTGGGAGGAGTGCTTTGTATAGAATCCCCTTTTGTGAACAACAGATTTCTTACTGAAAATTTAGAACAATAGCTCATTGCCAAGCAGAGCTCACTGATGGATATTTTAGTCCCCACCCAGGTCCTAACCCTTGGCCCATGTTGTACCTTTTCCTTCTGTGATTTTGTGAAGCACAAAAAATTGGATTTTGAGGCATGACCAGCCCCTCTTATCCTTCCCTGGAGGAAGGACCAGGAAAGTCTTTAATTTGGAAAAATGAAATCTTTTTAAAGCTCAGAATCTAAAGGGACTGTTTTGATACGTCCTCTCCATACTGTTCCATTCTTTACTGAGCTGTAATTTAATGACATTCCTTCTTACGTTTCTTTTTCAGGCGAACCTGTTGTATGTGCTGCTGGTGTATATGGGGTGGGGGTGAGGTGGGAGTGTGTGTGTGTGCCCGGGCGCACATGCACTGTGAGTAAGTGTGCTTACTGGTCACGTCCCAGACCCAACGGGACTGGAAAGCCCATTGCTGTTCGCATTTCACAACTGCATTAAGAAATTAAAACCTGTGGTGTCCTTTTCTCCCCCCACCCCCCAATTGCTTCGTTCCCTACTCCCAAGCTGTGCATCTCTTTTGTACCATATTTAAATGCACTGTAATCCTACATAGAACATGATGGCAAAACAGCAGAATCCTGAAGTCCGACTGAAATCTTATAAAGGTTTTCATCCAGAATTGATTTTTGTCCTTTGTGAACTAGATGACCCGCTTCTTCCCACTAGTATTCTTGGCCTCACCTGAAAGGTTTTCCTCAGGACGCTGCATCTCACGGGATGGGTAGGGTTCGGCGGGTGAGGGCTGTCCGCGTGGAGGCCGCTGCCGAGGCTCTGCGGGCCCACGGTGATGGGGAGGCCGCGGGAGGAGCTCTGCGCACGTTCCGCCCTCCCCCCCACCCACCCTCCCCGGGCTCAGCTGTGATTTCGGGTGCCGCCTCTGTTAGAAGCCCGTCCTTTGGAGTGCTGCCATGCTGGGCCACACGGCTCCCTCTGGGTTGGAGGACGCGTTCCCTTTACATCAAAGGCTCAGACACATCTGGGTAGCGTTCTGCTTCTGAAAGGCCCGCAGTGCCCCCAGCAGGTGAGTCTCCGAAGCCGCTGGGGTCGCCCCTCCTGCTGGGGTCTCCCCCTGCTGGGGTCTCCCCCGGCCGCCCTGTTCAAGGACACGCACGCAGCTGTTAATCTCTCAGGGAAACACGCAAGGCTCCGTAAGTCTTTGCAGGTGCTCATGTGGGTTCCCTTTTTTTATAGAGGGCATTTGTGATTTTGTTTCTCCCGCTGTATTTTTCTTCCAGGGGGTTAACGTAAAGAAGTACTTGAGTTCCTTTAGAGCAACCAGGCGTGAGGTGTAAGGCGGGGTGGCCGGGACTCAGAGCAGTGGGGCTTTCGGCCGCCCTTTGTGTCCGTGGAGGGGGCCCCCTTGACCTCCCTCACTTGACCTTCCCCAAGCTAGCTGGAGTCTGCCAGACCCAGGACACGAGCGGGTTCGGACAAGTCCCCGGGGGCAGTCATGCCAAGCCGGGGGTCTGCGCGGTGCCGCACGCTGGGCCGTGTCCGTAAGGGGCCTGTCCTGCGGGGCACAAGGCACCTGAAGCAAGTAAACAGCGTTCTAAAGTCCGATCCCCTTTTGAAATGATTCCCCGGGGACGCCTGGTTCAAACCCGACCGCCAGCCCTAAAACAAGCCTTTAAGTAAAATCAGTGAAACGCTTACAGGTTTCTCCCTTTGCAGTAGCTGTGGTCATGGGGAGTAATGTTTAAATTGAGCGCTTGCTTCCATTCACAGGACATCCCAGCTGCCGCGGGTCCCTGGCTCCCCCAGGGCTGGGCTTGCTCCGCACGTTGTCTCCCAGAGAGGAAGTGCCAGGCACGTTGGCGTGGCCCCCAGCGAGGCTCTTCAGGGGAACAGGGCTTTGGGAGGTCACGGGGGCAGATCACACGGGGCTCTGTCACGGCAGGGTTGAGAGACCAGAACAGGTCACCATTAACTTGCTGGTCTTGAACTTAAATGTAGCTTCCCTGTTGTGCTTTGAGGGTTCGGACCTTCCAGCTTACTCTGGCGGGGTGGGGTCCACGGTTGCTGAGCTCTTTTCTAAATAATAATCGCAAATCTGTTTAAAAATCGAAACCCCTTGTTCCAGTTTACAATTACGCTCCAGTGAGCGACTCGTCTTTGGAATCCCTCAAGGTAAGGTTTTCCTAATGGGGTACACGACTGTCCTAC